TTCTTTGTTGGGCCATCACTTGCTTTCCTTTTTTTGCTTTCTTTTGTTTCTTTTTCTTCTTTTTCTTCCTCTAAGCTACACCAATGACCAACTCTCTCTCTCTTCCTTTATACAACACAATAAATTCACCTGAAAGCTCTCCCTTTTCTTCATTGTTTTTTCCCCTCTTCTCTCTTCTCTTCTCTTATTTGTTCGTTTCTTTTGTTTTTTTTCTCTTTCTCCTAAATCCAATTCAACTCTCTCTATAGCTTTTGTGTGTTTGTTCACCTCAGACATTGCGAATTGGGATCCACTTGGGAGTTAGGACATGGGAACTTCATGCATATTTGGTCAAAATTTTGGGTTTTGGAAAGTGAAGGTTAGCTAAGGAGGTTTGACATGAAGATCTTTTAAATCGAAGAACTGGGTTTCTTTTTGTCTTCACAAAACCAGTCAGAAGCATCCATCTTACTCCACAGCAAAGGAAAAAAACCGGATTTTGTCTGGTTTCATCAATTCCCATTCAAACCTGATTTTTGACTGAATTGGCTAAGTTTTTTCAAATGAGGTTTTTTAAGGTGGCTCAGACTGGACAACTGGCCGGTTTCTGGTTCAGCCGGTTTAATCGGCCAGTTTGGTCCGAGTTTAAAAACATAGAAGGAATGTTATCCATGAATTTTCTTAAGCGAATGTTGGAATGTTGTTGTCTATGGATTTCTTGAACTGTGTACATGATGCCACCAAGAGTCTCCAATTTTGCCACTGTTGGATTCTAATATTTGTGAGACTTCAAACTAGATTCTAATATTTTTGAGATTTCAAATTTCCTAGCTATTATAGATAGGAATGGATTGGCTAATGTAAACAGGATTCTAATATTTTTGATACTTCAAATTTCCTAGCTATTATAGATAGGAATGGATTGGGTAATGTAAAACGTGAGAGTGACTGTCCAGTGCCCAATTCAACGCCAGTAAGAGCTAGTTTTTGGCAGTGTTGTCAAAATCGCGATTCGGATCGTAGGATCGTACGATCCGGAAAATCAAAATCGATTCGGATCGCACTCAGAATCACAAATTACAATAATCTTTGTAAAATCGCTGTAGGATCGGTAGGATCGTGTAGAATCGTATGATCCTACGATCCTATCTCAATCCTACAAATTTTTGCTAATTTGTCTCCATTTTGCAAGTAAATGAAAATATTTGGGGTAGGCTTGTAATTTATCAAAGAATTGCAGCCTTTAGTTGCAATGTTTTAAAAAATTTTGCCTCAAAGTCAAAAAGCTCTGTCAAAAAGCTTCGGTTCTTCTTCATCTTCCCCTCAAGCTGTCAAGCAGTCCTCTTTGTCATTTTTCTTCTCCTCTCCGCTACCCAAATTCCTAATTTAAACCATCAAACCACCACGGCTGCAGCTCTTACCAAGTACTAACAAAGTAACAAGACGAAATCGCTGCAGCTTCTACCAAGAACCCACAAGCTACAGCCGACAGCTTCAAGGCTTCAAGCTTTAAAGCTTCAAGCTCCAGCCCCCATTGCTTCGGTAAGAATATCAAGCTACGAAATCCTCTATTGCCGCTGGATTTTGGCCGTTTCAAGCTTCAAAGCTTGAAGCTCCATCACCCATTCTTCTCCAATTTTCGTGTTGCCAGTCTGCCACCACACTGAAGCTCAAGCACCAGCACTTCAATTAAAGTCACATGTGAGTCTGGTTATTTTCTTGCTTGAAAATTGATATTTGGGGAGATGGTGATTGATAAAGTTGTGATTTGTATTTGATTTTCTTGGTATTTGAACATATATTGCCTTTGATTGAATTGAGTTGAAGGGAATTATTGACGGGTCCATTAGGATTTGTGAAAATTTGGTTTTCTTGCTTGAAAATTATTGACGGTTCTGAAGCACCAGCACTTTGTCTTAGGATTTGTGCTCTCAGAATCATTAACGGGTCCATTAGGTACACTCTTTTTTGCCTTCTCCACAGGAAGCTCTGATAATCGAGACTCTGCTACCACATAAATCTTCCCATTGAACTTGTTGAAGAAATCGGAATTAGGAGTATTATTATTTTGTAATAATGATTAGAGACTAAATCAGAATTCAGAAGACATTACTAGATAAGGAAGCGTACTTACCAAAAAACTTAAACACAAGGGATCGGGTAATTGCAATTCTCCTTATAAGAGAATAGAACAACCTACAATCTCTCTTATCATAACTTTTTGTTGAATGTAATGAATGATCCTTAACTTAACTAGCTAAATGCAAATATTTTTCTGTTAGACTTGAAGAAAATTTGGATGTTTCTTTGCTAAGCCGTTTGCTAATGATGTGACCTTGCACACACAAATCCAACCTTTTGTTTAGATATCAAGAGAAAAAGTCTCTTTTACTGGATTTTTTCTAAACTTTTATACACGAAACATGAGGAAGCAGCACTGTTTACTTGCCTGTAGATAGAATAGAAGTCTTTGCATAGCAAAGTTTTATTTTCCAGAAAAATTCACACAAATGGATTGTTGCTGTTCTAGCATTAATTTCTGAACTTCTATTGTTGCTGCTGTTATGTCCTTTACCTATGTTTTCATTGGATTTGCACTTGGCCTTGCAAAAACCATTGGTAATAAGACTGAATTTCTTGTGCTGGTCTGGTCTGGCTTATTTTCTGAATGCTAGCTTTATTTTCTTTTATCAAATGCTGGTCTGGTATGAATTTCTTGGTTTCTTATGAATATTCTAATATATTTGGCAGTGCTTAAATGTCTTCATCCGCTTCAAAAAAACAAAGTAGAAAAAATGCACCGGGTGCTTGATTGGATCCCAGGTGGGATCATGGAATTGAAATTGATGCTAATAAAAAACAAGTTCAGTGTAAATACTGTGGGATTACTCGAGCAGGTGGTGTGTATAGGCTTAAGCATCATTTAGCTTGTACACATACAAATGTTGAACCATGTCCCAGCGTTCCTGAAGATGTTAGAACCCAAATGTTTGATTTACTAAGTGCAAGTTCTGAGGAATCAAGGGAAAAAAAACAAAGGGTTAGTACCATGTATGATTTAGAAGAAGAAGAAGGAGAAGTTAGGCAGCAAGCTAAAAAATGTTCTATGGACAACTTTGTTGTGAGAAAATCTGGGGGTTGAATGTGAGACAAACAACCATAAATGAGAAATGGAAGAAACAAGATAGAGATGAAGTTTGTCAAATAATGGCTAGGTGGTTCTATACAAGCGCCATTCCATTTAATGCTGTAAATAACCCATTGTTTCCTTTAATGATTAGGAAATTGGGAGAATATGGAAAAAGACTTAAACTAGTTTCATACCATGAAATGAGAGTGACTTTTTTGAAAAAAGAGGTGCAAGAGACATTGAATTTGCTCAATATGTACAAAAAAGAGTGGAAAAAAGCTGGTTGTACTATTATGTCCGATGGATGGTCTGATCAAAGAAAGAGAACAATGAAAAATTTCTTGTGAATAGTCTAGCTGGTACTGTGTTCTTATCTTCGGTAGATACCACTGACATTTCAAAAATAGCTCAAAAATTATTTAAATTGTTAGATGGTATTGTGGAAAAAATTGGAGAGGATAATGTTGTGCAGGTCATCACCGATAACGCTTCTAATTAAAAGGCAGCTGGAAAAATATTGATGGAAAAGAGAAAAAGATTGTTTTGGACCCCTTGTGCTGCTCATTGTATTGACCTAATGTTAGAAGATTTTCAAAAGTTTGATTCTCTCCACAAAGTTACCATACAAAAAGCGAAATCAGTGGTTACATATATTTATTCATGGGGTACAGTTATTAATTGGATGAAATAGGTCACTAATGGCAAGGAGTTGATTAGACCTGGAGTTACTCGTTTTGCTACTTCATACTTGACCATGAGACGTCTCAGCGAGCTGAAAGGGAATTTGTTTACCTTTTTCTCTTTGGATAAGTGGAAAACAAGCATGTATGCTAGGAGAAAAAAAGGGGAAACAAATTGAGAGCATCATTTTTGATAATCAACAATTTTGGCCAAATGTGGAGCTATGTTTAAAGATAGTTTCGCCTCTTATCAAAGTATTGAGGATGGTTGATTCTGATGAAAAACCAGCCATGGGCTTTCTCTATAAAGCTATTGATCAGGCAAAAGAAGAAATCAAACAAAATGTGAACAATGTTCGAAAGAGGTAAATTTTAAATAAAGTGCCATATTAATTATGAATTCATTTATAATTTCTGTTTTGGATAGTAGAATGGATTTTTTTTTTGTTAATTTTTTTAACCAAACTCATGTTTATATGCTAGATATGAATCGGCATTTGCTATCATTGATAAAAGATGGGAAGATCAATTGAGTCATCATTTACATGCCGCGGGTTATTATTTGAATCCTCAATTTCAATATAGTCCAAATTTTCAGTCGGATGCAAATATAAAACGTGGCCTTTATGATTGCATTGCTAAGATGGTTCCCGAATCTGGTGAAAGGGTGAAGATTGATTTGCAATTAAATGATTTTCGACATGCAAATGGATTATTTGGTCATGAAAATGCTGTACTAACAAGAAACAAGAAATCTCCTGGTTAGTTACTATTTGAACTTTGTGTTTTTATTTTTAAAACCTTTATTAATTTGTTATTTATTTTAATTTCCTACAGCTGATTGGTGGGAATCTTATGGCGATGAGTGTCCAGAGTTGAAAAATTTTGCCATTCGAATTCTCAGTTTAACTTGTACCTCTTCTGGATGTGAGCGAAATTGGAGTGCATTTGAATTGGTAATAATGTTTTCATATAATATAATATCTCATTCAGTATAATATTTTGTTTAGAATTTGAATTTAAGTTCGTAGTATAACTGTATAAGTTTTTTCAATTTCAATAGGTACATTCTAAGAGAAGAAACCTTTTGGCTCAAAAAAGAATGAATGATCTTGTGTTTGTGATGTACAACTTGAAGTTGAGAGAGAGACAAAGGCAAAGGCAACGTGTTAGTGAAGAAATTCCTTTTGAGAATTTGCCTTCAAATGATGATGGGTGACAGAGAGAGAAAATCCAACTCTTCCAAGAGAAAATAGCTGGTTATGAGTTCTAGATGACAATCCCAAATATGACACTTCAGATGAAGAGGGAAATGAAGATGATGAAATTGAAATACTTACAAGAAATGTGCAGAGAGTTTGTAAGTTTCTTTCTTTCTTCCAATTTAAGTATAAAGTTTATCCTTTTTTTTTAGTTTTTTAGTTTTATTTTGCAAGTTCTCTTGTTTTTGGTAACTTTCATTATTATTGTTTGTTTATTTAGATGATCATGAAGATCGTCAAACCCATGTCCGTCGAAGACAAGTTAATAAAATGAAAGAGATTCATGTTATTGATGAGGATGATGGGCCTTCAATTGAATTCGACCGCCAAGATGATGATTATCTTGATATGGTTCCCGAAAATGATGTTCAAATGGGAACTAATGATTTGGATGATACTAATTTGGATGGTGATGAAGATAATGCCGAAGATGAATTCCAAGAGAATTGGGATGGTGAAGATGATTGGGAAAATAATGATTTTGATAATGTGGATTATGGGAATAATGAATTTGATTCAAACGATGAAAATGATTGGTTATAAATTAATGTATTTCTGAATTATTATGATACTTGAAAATGATGAATTGTTGCTATTTTATTTTTTATTTTTTCATATTTGTTTAAACTTGACAGATGACATTCTAGTAGTTAATTTTGATCGTGAAAATCTTTTTGGATGCTTGGTTTTTTAGTATTTGTGAAGGTTGATGATTATTTTATATTTGAAATTATGATTGTGTAAACTGTGAAGCATTTGGTTTTAAGACTTGAAATCATGACAGATAACAGGTTTATATTCTCTTCTTTATTACTTGTTAGATAGTAAATAAAAAATACTATATATTTATGAGTAACTTATTTATTTGATATCTTTTAAGATGTACAAAATGGTATATGAATTTCAAATTCATTAATTTAGTAAATTTAGGAGCTTTTGGTGCGATGTTACGATTCTATAATCCGATCCTATGATTCGATTCTGTGAAACTAAAATCGATCCGATTTGGATCCCGATTTTACAAACCTTGGTTTTTGGTGGCAGTTTGGTGACAGCAAAAGTAGGGACACGGCAACAGAGCAAGGGAAAGAGAGATGGTCAAATGCGTGGAAGAACATTTTAGGGACTTTTGTAAATTTTGTGTCGTTGGAATCGTGAAAAGTTGCCGGCTTTTGAAGTGTCTTCGCAGAGTCCATTTATCGAAACACTCATACAAAAAACTGTGAGTTATGAAAGGGGGAATCGTGAGAAGACTACTAAGGGTCAACGTTAGTTGACTAACGTTGATAGGATATTTGTTGTGGACTTATCACTTTGAAGTGTCGTGATGTAAATTGGTCAAATCTTGGTGTTTAACTTACAGTTTGGATGAATTTCGGAGGAGATAAATGCCATTAATCCAAAAAATTTAAATCCTATGGTGATAATCCTATCGAGAATAAAGTTCTGATTAACTTTAAAACTGTCCAAACTTTTCTCATGTAGTGATTGACATTTGTGTACAACTCTTTTTGCATCTTACATATTTTTGTTAAATTTTGGGAACGTATAAAATAGTAAAAATTTAAAGTGCTGAAGAGAATAAATCAAAGTTTGGGGAATAGATGAGATATTAAAAGTTTAAATGATTTGGTGAAGTTCAAACTTTTGAGGGATAGAGGAGAATTGGAGCCAGTTTCCAATTTTTAGGTGGGGATTATCTGTACTAGTATATAAATTTATGTGCTTGTACTTGATCAAACGTGTACAAGTATTATAGAATTTCGAAAATATCATCAACAGGTAGTTAATTTAAATCAAATATTCTTAATACTTCTAAGGTAGTCAAAATTTTGTGAAATACTCATACATGCGTCATTATAAAAAATAAATTTGCATGTAATAGTAAAAGGTGATTCAAATTTGACAAAAAAAAAAGAAATATCTTAAATCTATAGATCTATAATCTATATATTTTATATTTTGAGGAGGTGTTTTAGTCTATGCCTCCCAATATGAGCCTTCAGTTTTCCATTCTTTTCTTGTCTGTTTTTTGATTTATTTTAATTAATCAAAATATCGTCATTAGCTTTTGGTTGGATTGAATCTAAAAATATTCTTTAGTCTTTTATTAGGGAAATGTTATTTACACTCCTTTTTTGTTATTTGCACTCTCACTATCATTTTGATTATATAATTTCATTTATTAGATTATGTGATATAACAAATGATCATTTTGATTATATAATTTCATTTATTAGATTATGTGATATAACAAATGATGGGAGTGCAAATAACATTTCCCTTTTAAGGAAAACATAACTAAAGTAAGGAAACCTTCGAAATTCCTATTAGTCTTTTATTAACTTTGACCAAAACAAGTTTGACTATTTAATAGCCATAACACAACACTATGAAAACATGTTTTGAATGGTGAATTTTATTATAAATAACTGGGAACATTATAATGGTTTCTATGTATTATATATATGAGGATACATTTTAGCCTAGGCCTCCCAACGAGCCTTTAGTTCCCCATTCTTGTTTTTTATTTTTGATTTATTTTAATTTATCCAAATACCATTATTAGCTTTTAGTTAAGTTTAGTCCATTAAAGCAGAATCTTCCGAACTTAACATATCAAAAATAGGAAAGAATACCTATGATTTTGCAATCAAATTTTCAAATTTAATTAACCTTAACAAAATTATATACGACCATGAATGAGATTGGTTTCTTTTACAAAAAATTAGAATAAACAACTAAACATTACGAGTTTGGTTTATAATTTTAGCCTTTTACTAATCTTAATAAAAAATAAGTTTGGTTTACCAAAAAAATGTTTGGTTGTTAAAAATTATAATTATTCCTCATGTATTAATGATGTAAAATTTTAGTCTATTAAAATCAAAATGAGCGATTTTAATATGGTATGATGCTCTTCAATGCATGACCCTCTTTCCTAATTGTTAGTTTTCCTTCATTTTTTTTTTCTTATTAGGGAAAATCATTCAAAACGTCCCTCACATTTTACAGAATGACTTTTTTTGTCTCTCACTTTTAAAAGTGTAATTTTATATTATTTACAAATTTACATTGATCAAATTTGGTCCCTACCTAGATTTTTGACTAGTTTTTTGCCGGAATTCACTATGTGCCTTGCATGTGATTATTTTTTAGGGTCAAAATTGTCAAATCAAATTTTACACAATCTGATCTATAGTCCCTTACATTTCACAAAATGAATTATTTCGTTCCTCACATTTCACAAAATGAATATTTTTCATCATTTACATTTCACAAAATGAAATTTTTCCGTCCCTTATTGATCATATAGTTTTTTTTAAAAGCCATGTATATATCTATTCAATTTCACCAGAATAGTACGAATAGCATGTAATATATCTTTATTTAATTTCACCTAAACAGACTAATTATAATTGTACACATGCTATTCAATGGATATAGACATGGTTTTAAAACTAATAATTTTGTTTTAAACCCATGTATATATATCTATTTGATTTCACCATGTGAACCTATTCAATATTTGTGGTCTTTTATCTTTTGGTAATAATTCATTTATTGAGTTGTATAATAAGGCATCTAATTAATTGGTCATAATTTGAATTCTATAGTCATGCTAACAAATTAAAGTTTAAATATGAAATTTCTACTCATCACCTTTAAGACCAACAGTTGAATTACTTGCCTTGTGATTATTTTAAAATTTAAAAGTATCAATTACTTACTTCTTTTTGTCATACTTTTCTTTTGTTTGTTTTTTCTGTCTAAATTTAATTCGATATAAATACTTGATAATGTTTAAGATTAAATGTTTTTTTTGTTTTCAATTTTTGAGTAAAAGGAAATGAACATAAGTGAAAAAATAATAATTTTTTTAAAACTCCTGTATGTATCTATTTACTTTTACCTGGACAGTACGTTCAGCCAAATTAAATAGAGATATATTACATATTATTCGTATTGTTCAGGTAAAATCAAATAAATATATACGTGAATTTAAAAAAGAGCTATTCATACACATGATCAATAAAGGGATGAAAAAATTCATTTTGTGAAATGTGAGGGATTATGGATCTGATTATGTAAATTTTGATATGACAATTTTGTCTTTAAAAAATGATCACGTGCAAGGTGGATGGTGGATTTTGATAAAAAAAAACTAGTCAAAAATCTAAGTAGAGATCAAATTTGATTTGTAAGGGATATAAAAGTATACTTTTAAAAGTAAGGGATGAAAAAAATCATTTTGCAAAATGTGAGGGATGTTTTGAACAATTTGCCCTTCTTATTATATATGGGTTTTAATTGATTGAAGTTTTAGTAAGTACCTTCCTGATTCTTTGTTTGAGGGCTGCAATATATAATTTTTGTAGGTCGAGAGGGGTGTCAATTTCTCACGCTCAAACAAGTGTAGCTCCGCCCCTGATTTGACTTTCTCATAAAATTGTGACACCGTTTTCCAAAAAATTAATCTTACGCTGCCAATCCTATTCTTTATATTAATGATGTTTGTTCTAAGAAAACAAATGACAACAAAAGGGTATTCTATGTTTTAGTTTTTTTTGGGGGGGGGGGGTGGTTTACGTGCGAGTACCAATTTTTCCTATGCAAATGAGATATTTAGAGGAAACTTATAATACAAGTATATTATTTCTATTTCTTTGTTTCCAAAAGTTTTAAAATTTCCAGAATAGTAATAAATAAAAAGTTTCAACATTGACATTCATATTTCAGAACAAAATCAAGTCTCCACATGCAACATTTATTTTTCTATTGTAGAAGTTAAACTCAGAAAAAAAAAAAGAAATTCATTGCTATCTATGATAACATGATAACTGATCATATCTAACATGTAGATCGAATTTAAATTCTGCATTACCCAGTGTAATAAAATTTTGAAGTAATAGTAATTGTGTACGCTTGGTAGAAGTTACAATGACAGTATAAGAAGTTAAGATAGTATTGGAGTAATATCCCTGCATATGGTTGTACTCAAAAATAATTTATGTTAGGTTTTCCAACTTCGTCAATTTTCAAGTAGTCAACAAGATCGAAAGAGTTAACAAAAATGGCTTTCTTTGTTTTTTTTTGGGAACAATTAGGTGCCAAAATAGTTTTAATCTTTTAACAAAATTAAACTAAATAGATGACATTGGCGCAATGTGAAGCTTTACGTGGTAAATTAAATTAGAACCAATGTAAATCGAGGTCAGCCAATAAAAATTCAAGAATTATAAATGCTGCAAACCAAATTTGTCCAAATAAAACAATTTAATGGAACTTGATATAACATGCAGCGGCTGTGGCAACACAGAGAACAACATAAAATACAAAGAAATCATTCTTATACCTAGACACTTGAAAATCTGAAAACTAGACTTCAACTCAATGGAATAAATTAAAGGGTAAATCTTTATACACTGATAGTGTATATACTAACGAGTTCAGATGTATGTCACATATGCAAAATTTAATGTTTAAATTTAAAATGAAATAATGTGACATGCCTCCAAACTCGTCATACATTAGCAATGTAGAAAAGATTAACTAAACCAAATGCAATAGACACAAAAACAACAGTATTACTACTAAACACATTATCACTAGACTACCCACAGCCTAGTTACTTAGATCTACTTGTGTGATTCGTCACACATCATTCTCCTCCTTAGCCAGCAACTTTTTGAGTTCATCTTTTTCTTCCCTTGTCAAACTTAAATTCTTTGGGTAGATAACTTCAAAGCTGACAAATAAGGAGCCTGTCTTGCCAAAACCGTGCCAACAAGGCATGCCTTCGTTGGGAATCTCCATAACACACCCGGGTTCTGTCTTTGGAATAGTTAGAAGACGCTTGTCCAATGTTTCGATTGTAAGGGCTTCTTTGGTAACGTATTCCGTCAACGGAATTTTCCTTATAGCCCACAAATCTTTGCCCTGCCTGTGGAATTCAGCATGAGGCTCTTCTATCACGTCAACGATCACATCTCCGGGGACCTTTCTGTCGTCTAGAATGACCCTGCTTGGGTATACAACTCTCAGGCCATTCTTAGCACCCGGTGGGATGTTCACCACAAGTGTCTCCGGTTCGGCATTGGGTGATATCGCGCTACAAAATTCAATATGTATGCTTTAAATTACAGTTTGTTTAGATTAAAAGTTATTCGGAAAATTTTTTTTTGGTAATATTTAGTATAGTACCTTTTCATTTTGTTTATTTTTAAAATTTTTCATATAGTACCTTTTTTTTATTATGATGTATGCAAGATAAGAAAAAGTTATTGAAAAACATGTTTTTTTAGCAATAATTTTTTTTTGTAAATAATAATATCCAAGCAAACATAGGTACATTAGAAAATTTAAAAAAAGAAAGATAGTAAATCTCGATTTACATACATATAAATCACCAAAAAAGCTAAAAACACTGTTTTTTTTAAATTTTTTTAAGTAAAAACTTTTTCAAGTAATAAACATTAACTTTGATTATGGGTGCTAAATAAATAACTGATATAATAAATAACAGATTCAACTTGATTCTTCAACAAATATATATTCCATATCGATGATATAACAAAGATAAACTCAATATGTACGTCAGACAATGAAAAGGAGATAGTAGCTATCTATTTACATACATATCCATCACCAAAAAGCTACAAAAAGAAAGCACTATTAATTTCTCTAAGCAAAAACTTTGTTAAGCAATAAATCATTAATTTTGATCATGGGTATTAAATACATAACTGGTATAATAAATAACATATTCAACTTGATTCTTCAACAAATATATACATTCCATACAGATGATATAACTAGTAAAACTCAATATGTACGTTAGAAAATACAAATGAGATAGTAAATCTCGATTTACATACATATAAATTACCAAAAAGCTAAAACAAAAATAAACTGTTAAGTATCGGTGCTAAATGAATATCTGATATAATGAATCACTAATTCTTGTTCAACTTAATTTTTCAAGAAATCAATAGTCCACAGAGATGATTTATATGAAACATCATGCTAAACATTATATGGGGAATAGGGAGACGTTAAGTACAAAAACATATACGTACCAAGGATCAGGGAGGAGTTTCATGTGTTCTCCGGTAAACTTGATTCTCTTTTCCACTCCGTTGTAGAGCTCGTCGAGAGTAAACCTCAATGGACACCAAACCGAAGGCGATGGTTTCCTTTGATAGTTGCCCTTGTCAAAACCTTTCGAGCATAATTTCCACATGGTTTCTCTCAAAACTCTTGCCCTCCTCACCAAATTAATTAGAAATAAGGAGAGCTTCCACAAGGGTTTATGCGGTTAACATTGATGACTAGCTAGGGTTTTTTTTTTTATATAGAGTTTAGGTGAGAGAAAGGTGAGAAACTTGTCATAACTGCATGTTTTGATAAAAGGAAATCCGTGTTGTTCAAGAAAGGCAAGCAACTTGCCATAACTGCATGTCTTGCTAAAAGGAAATCCGTGTTGTTCAATCTTTTGTGACAGCTTTTTTTTTTGGCATTATACATGGACGCTATTTTAGGCAGAGTATTTTTGACTAGTGTCGATATCGTGTTCGTGTCAGAAAATCTCAACCCTAACCCAATCCGTTAAATTTTCGTGTATTTTAATTTGTTTGTTAATGGGTTGATTCAACCCAATCCGCGTAACCCATTAAGCACTTTGTATGATCAAAATAGTTTTGACATGATGTATTATTTTGCCAAATCAAATTGCTGATGTGTGCTAGAAACAGTTGAGCATTTTAATCACTTATTTCACCTCATTTGATCAGGTAATTGATTCAATGTTGCTGTTGCTAAAATACACGATAAATTTTTTGAAATATATAGTCAACACAAAATTTAAAATTTTCAAAACATTCAAAAAAATAATAGATAATGAAGTTTTCCAAGCATAATATAAGTTACAAATTTGGCCTTAATTAGATTGCTATTTTTTTGATAAATTTCTCCATTTTCTGTGATTATTTCTTCTACACATTTTTTAGTCACCTTCTATCTTACATAATTACACCCTAAGTAGTGTTAAAGTAATTTTTCTCCAAAAACTCTCTAGAAAATGTAGTCCAATCAACCTTTTAGAAACACGATCATATAGTAGTATATATGATAAGATATAAAACTTGTGAGTTTTAAAACTTTTAATTGAAATTTTCAAGCCAAATTTGATCATTGTTTGTTTTTATTAAATACTCAAAATGGCTTCTATAGTGCTTAATTATTATCATAATGTAAGCATTTTATCATGTGTCAACCTGACCCAACTCACTTACATTCATGTCACTAACAGTTTGACTCAATAATGACCTACTAAAGTTCCGGTCATGTTAAAGCATGTTAATTACGGGTTGCGTTTGGGTCGTGTCATCGGGTCATACCAGAAATTGCCACCCCCTAACTTTGCCAGAGAAAAATTATGCCTTCTTCTTATGAGGAGTTTATTTCCACAATAACCTTCTTCTTTAAAATTATTCCCAAACTAATGCACTTTCAAAAATTATTCCTTTGTTAATCTCCTTGTTGCTATGTCCGATTATGAAAAATATTCATGTTTTCGGCTCATATTCTTTTTTATGAGGGTACAATCTGCATCATTCGATTCTTAATGACTTTTCGATAGTTCAAATTTTGTTACTTACACACAATCTCAAAGGTAAAAAGTATTTTTCTATCTATTATTAAGTGATTTAGTATATTCTCACATTAGATTGGCTCGTGTAGTGTGTTAATTCTCTCTCTCTCTCAGAAAAGGGTTGTGTTCTCTTTTGATGAGTCAAAAAATGCAAGAGCATTTTTTTTTAAATTTCTTTTCCCTCTCTAGTGCACCTTTTATAGTTTACGTAAACTATGATCATTATGTAGTTGACTTATGTATCAAACAATTTGAATTTTTGCAAACTTCTTAAAATATAAAAAGTCATGTGACCGCCATGTATAAAATTGCAGGTAACAAGAAAAATGAAAGGAACTTGTGATATAACAATAAAAATGATGCAAGGGAGGAAAATTGGCATAAAAAAATGTACTTCTACAAAATCATTGCAATATAGGGGGTGGTCGATAATTTTAAAACACTAATTGTTGTCCACTTTCCTTTTTTTCAATTTGCTTATAGAATGTCCTTGTGACACCAAATTAAGAAAAACCATATAATATATGGAAGAAAAGATTTACAAGTGATTATTTTCCACTGATGGGAATTCTATGTGGCAAAAACTAGATTAATAAGGAAATAAAAACTTAAAGTGCATTACTTTTTGGGATTATTTTCTAAAAGTAGATTATTTTGGCCAAAACCTTAGTTTTAAATTGGTGAAAACCAATAGTTGTCAGTTGAATACTGACAAAAACTTGTTCTAAAATAACAGCAATTTACTAAAAAGTATGAAAGAGATTTTTGTTTTCTAAAGATTTTGATTCCACGATTATTTGATGCTGTTTAATTTCTTGGTACAATCTAATCATAGAACTGTTCACTACACATATATATGTGCGTCTCTCTCGATATATATATATATATATATATATATATATATATGGATGTGTGTATGTATATATATGTATGTATGTATATATATGTGTGTATATGTGTGTGTATGTATGTATGTAAAGTAAGTACGTACACAAACATGTATGTATATGTACATAATAATTGCTGCAATTATATTTTATACATTTTTCTAATTTAACTTTTACATTTCTAAAAAACTAGTACTTAGAACTCCACGTAACCACATAGCAAATTATCAACCGTGTACATGATAGGGCTAAATTTTGTACTTTTGGATATTTCTTAGTGACTTTTGAAAACCGTAATCCTGTCTAACTCATAGAAACCCAACTTCGAGTGGTTGATTGCTTACTTTTTTTTCTTCTTTTTTGGGTCAAAGGATTGCTTACTTGATCGTTATTTTTTTATTTTCTCTTTGTCGTCCATATGATTGGTAAAATACCATATGAGTGTAAGGATTAATCTTTCATACACTAACAGTGTATACACTATCAGCATCGGATGAATAACAATTATGCAAAAATTGAATTGCAAAATTTGAATTTGAAATTCAATTTTTGCACACATGTCATGAATCCAATGATGATAGTGTTTACACTATCAGTGTAGGAAAGATTTACTCATGAGGGTAATACATACACATGATATACTCAAAAGTTCTCTAAACTTTTAAGTATTAATAGTTCATATATTGTCAGTATTGATTGAATGACAACTATGCAAAATTTAAACATGAATTTTAACTTTTGCATATGTGTAATGGATCCTATGGTGATAGTGTATACATTGTTAGTGTATATAAGATGTACTCAAATTTTAATTGAAAACTATAAGTCAACAAAGCTATACAAAAAAAAATCATACATGAATAATGTGAATAAGTTTGAAAATGATTAATGATAGAACTAAAAATCTGAGTTCATTTACTATGGTTTTTAGATCATATGATATATTAGCATTAGTTTTTACTTATAATCTTATGCATTCCAAATTCAAAAATTTTGATCTTGTGCATCAGGTACTAAATTGACTATAGTAAAAAGTATGCTACAAGTCTATCATTTTTTTACATAACTCATAAACTGCAAATTTATCTTTTCAAAAATTTTAGTATTTGTTGTATATTAATACGAGAAAATTTATTATATATTTTATTCTTTTTTTGTTGACAAGTACAAACTCATTTAAGGGCAATTAAAATACATATGTTATAGGAATTTCCTACCGATTTGAGCTCTTTTGACTCCAAGAAATGCTTTGATGGAAGGTTTGAAAGATTTGGCAAAGGATTAGAATGGTGGTAGAACTCACACTTTTTTATTTCAGATCTACTTATACCTAGCAATATTTGTGGAAAATGGATTTCAAATGTACTTATACCTAGCAATATTTAGAATTAACGCCAAAAACAGAGTCTAGATTTGTAATTTGTCAATCATACAAAAAAATCCGGACACATTAAAATGAAGTTCAAGTGTTGATATTTTGTAAAAATAAAGTTAATTAGGTAAAGTATATAAAATAAAGGTAGAGTGATAATTGGCATTAACATGGCTAGTTAGGTGTGATTTGGGTATATTAACAATTGCCCACTAGGTACTTGTTAAAACCCATTACTAATATACAATTTCAACATGGCCACCTAAAATTATAAACTCTTACATATTTACGTTGTAATTTGTCCAATATGCTATAACCAATGATTATCTTCTATGCTAATTTGGCCATGAACGGAACCTAAAGTCGTAAATATTCTGAGATCATTGATGCATTCATATCTTCATCATACATGTCTTCCCACGCTTATTTATCTTTTTGGAAATTCATGCCCATCAGCTAAAGCCGTCTAGCAATTTTAACAATCGATCAGATCATATCCATTAAAACCAATAGTATCCGTTGTATATAACTAGCATATAATTTGAGATGTCTAGCAATTTAATAAGCTGCGGTCTCTTTTTTTTTTTTTTGTAGGGTTAATTACATTTACCTCCTCTGAGGTTTAATCAAATAACCAAATTTATCTTGAGGTTTTGGCAAATAATAAATTTTCCTGTACCTGGCTTCCGTTACTGATTTCTAACAGTTTCCTCGTTGCTTATGGTGTGAATCATTTTTTTCTTTTAAGAAAAGTGCAACAAATTATCGAATGCCTATATTAGCCTTACCGCCGTCAGATTATTGTTCCTTAGTCTACAACCATTCTATCCAAGGTTTTCAAGCAATTTCGATTCTTAAACCACTCCCATAAAAACCCCAAAATCGATCCATTATTAGTTTTACTTAGAGCCAGAGGTAGCGGTTCTAGAACTTTTTACAACTAAGCGCTTGGCTCAGTTTGAGATCGCAGGCATCAAAATGGTATTTTATTCAAGTGCTTCGGTTTAACATACTGTTTTAACCTCAGAAAATAGTTTTCCATGTGCCAGTTTACTGAACATTAGATCATTCTTTCTAAGACATGAATAGGCAATTAATTATGGGTTTTTTTTTAACTCCCATATATGATTATGGTTTTGTTTGTAAAATATTTTGTTTTTGTGTATTTGCAGTGATGATAGTTCACTGATTTGTAAATAAGAAATATTTGGATTTCATGAGGTAAAGGCATAAAGCCAGGTTTTTTTGGGCTTTTTTTTGGAATTAATCATATTTCTCTAAATTTACAGCAAATATATGTAGTTTTTAGTTGCTTGAAAGATAATAGGCTG